TATATTTGCATGCTGATGTGTATTTGCTTACCATTCTGAGGTTTTCTTGATATATACATGTTATATGTGTGTGTGTATAGATGTGTGGGTGTGTGAATATTTGTGTGTGTTTACATATATGTATCGACCTAACAGTACCCCCTCCTCTCCCTAATGCTTTAGGGGATCCTAGGCCAGAATAGTTACGTGCCTTCCAGGTTTTCTGGAACGCTTGCTTGATTTTTTTTATCTGCTTCCCAAGATTGTATCCATTCTCCAAGATGACTGATTTGCTGTGAAGAAAAGATAAATTTGTGATTATGAAAGAAATGGAGGTTATCAAGTGAGGCCAGATAGGTTTGTCTAAATATAGGGGAAAAAGTATAATGATATGCAGTTAAATGCACATAAAAAGGAAAATGCCACAAAGGGAAACACACATAAGACAGAGCCACTAAGCTATGTCCAGACGATATGAAGAACTGATACACACTAAGAAAGAAATTATGTATCTACAGTCTTAATAGCAACAGTCCACTCAAGTAGTGTTCAAAGGAGAGAGAGTTAACTTTTGAAGGACAGAGAATAATAACAATCACTGCACATTTAGCAGCTCACAAAGGGCTCTCCCATCCTCAGTCTCTCGGCTTCTTAGGAAGTAGGGGTCTGTCTTCAATCCCCTTTCCTTACAGCAGCTGCCTCCATCACAGCGAACGGCACCCTGCCCCTCTAGCAATGAATGAGACATACCAGCAAAACCAAATAGCAATGATAAAACCCAATGTGGTCAGGGACGTTGAGAAGAGGGCACATTTTACATATTTCTACTTGTACTGTGTATCTGTTCTTTTTTTGGTAGAGAACAATTTAGCAAAATCATAATAAAAATACTCCAAGGGAGTAATCCAAAAGGAAAAACAAATTTGCAAAAAGATAGTCACAGCGACCGCGTACATACTAGTGAAGGATTTGGAACAATGCACACGCCCGATCGTAGAGGCGCGGCGAGGCCGACTCTGCTCTCCTAACAGGATGAGCACAGTGGTGAGCTGAAGGAGCAGGTCACAGAACGGTCCTGCCCACCGGTTATAACGCAGACAAACGTGTCGGCGCATGGACAGGCCTAGGGAGAATTTAGAGGGATAAACACAGTTAATTTTCACTTGCTTCTTCATAATTGTTTTTAAAAAGGGAAAGATTTGTCTTAGGACAACTACAAAGAGGAGTAGGGACATGTTTTGACCGAGGACAGCAAGGATGAAGTATCCCCAGGGGGTTCCTTGGAAGGGACGTATCTCACTGGATGTGAAGTCCCGGGGGGCGAGTTGATGGGAGCACGATCCCAGCAGGTTTCCCTCACACCTTGCACAAGTACATGTGTGTGCGTGTCCACAGCTGCCGGGAGATCCGGGCCCAGGAAAGCTTCAGTGAGAAGAGAAATTTGCTGCATTGCACCTGCCCTGTCGGCCCCATGGGGTTTCCTGACACCCAATGAGAGGCCAATGGGGAGAGGGTTGCAGGGCACAGACGTAAGGGGCTTTATTACCTCTTCCCCTTCAGTTAGGCTCAAACTTATTACACTTCTGAGGTTTCTTCCCTGACCCACCCTGCTCCGTAAAGGACCCCCGGTGTGCAGGTCCACTTTCCCCTCCACTGCAACATCCCTAACCTCTCTCGGTGTCCTTCACCGTTGGGGTGCACGAAGGTTGGGTGCGGGCAGAGACGGAGTGAGTGTCGCCGTGGACACAGCCCGGCGCTCTGTTGCTCTTTCCTCTGGCTCAGCAGCCTAACTGTGAGCCGGGCCCTGCGCCAGGGAGCCAGGCACACCTGCCCCCTTCAGGAGCTCACGGCCAAGCGGGGAAGCGGGGAGAGAGAGGAAGCACTTTCTTCAGTTCCCTGTGTCCACACCAGAGAGCAGGGAGGCCAGCCAGCTGTGGACCAGAAAGAGGATGGTCCACTCGTCTAGTGGGGCCAAAGCTCCCCCCTCACCCCAAGGCAGGCAGGCCACGTGACGTGGAGGTGGCCGAGGAGGAGATCAAAGCCCTTCTAAAGGCTGCAGCTGGACCATCTGCTGTTCGGCAGGAAATTGGCCCAGGATTCCCAGATCTTCATGGTAAAAGAAAATTCTGAAATCCCAATTTTTATGTGGAATAAATTTTTAAAAATCATGTATTGAGTCAACACCATGCAGGCCAAACCTACTTTGTATGATGAATTCAGCCTGTGGACCTCCACGTGAGACCTTTAGGGAGCCTACCTGGGGCAACTGCAGACTGGAGCGAGACCCTGGGCAGCTGGCTAGGTTGCACTCGCCAGCCCTGGAGCCCAGACCCGCTGCTGCTTCTCTGCAGCCCCCAACCCCTCCACCCACTCTGGTCCCTACTCCTAACTCTGCTCATTCCCTCATTCCCACCAGACCACTAGGTGGCACTGTGAACCCAACAGCTTACCCTGGCCGAGCAAACCTGGGTCCCCAAGTCCCCTCAACCCCAGCCCATCCAGGCAACCTTGCTGCCATGGACTAATCTGGGGTCTTCTCGGCTTTTTCTTTTCTCTTTTTATTAAATCAAAAAGACCCCTTTATGTCTGGTTTGCTCTGTCCTCTAGGCCAGTGCTGCCCAATAGAAATATAATGTGAGCCACGTTTTTAATTTAAATTTTCTACTAGGCACATTTTTTTTAAAAAAAAGTGAAAGGAAACAGATGAAATTGATTTTAATAATGTTTTATTTAGCTCAATATATCCAAAATATTATCATTTTAATATGTAACCAATACAAAAAGCATTGATGAGATATTTTACATTCCTTTTTTGGTACCAGGTCTTCAAAATTCGGTGTGTGTTTTACACGTATAGCACATCTCAGTGTGGACTAGGACATTTCAAATGCTCAGTCGCCACATGTGGCTGGAGGCCACAGGGCAGCTATAGGCCCCGCAGAGTCAGCTCCCAGGTTGTGACATGGAATTCTGTCCAGCTGGATACTGACTTAGAGCCTAGGAGGTCTCAGGGACCCAACCTGCCACCTCTAAAGGAGTTTTCATGTTAGGAAGGTACTTGCATACTTCTGCAAACTCCAGGGACGGGGAGCCCAGCTCACTCCCCTGGCCTTGCTCCTGGCCTGGAGTGGGCGAGGGCCTTCCTGAGCACTGAGATGGGGAGGAAGCACCCCCCACCCCCGAGGCCTGCACTTTGCAAATAACAATGGGTTTCCCTTATTGAGCAAAAATCTTAATTTAATATAGTCAAATTTATCAAACCTAAAATTTTCCCCAAGGCTACAAACATTCCTGAAACTTGTGAACCTCCAGGTACTCTATGAGACCCCAAGGCCCCCCTCCGGCCCGGCCCTGCAGGCCCTTCTTACGGCTCTCCTTCCTTCCCTCTGGCCAGTTCCTCTCTCCGTGCCTGGTCAAACTCCCTCCTCAGCCTGTCTGTCCCTGCCTTTGCTGGAAGCAGCATCTCTGAAGGCAGCTTGATGCGTACCCAAAGCCTTTTCTTCCCACTAAGATGGCTGGTTTTGCTCCTAGCTAGCCCCAGGACCTGGGCCAGGAATTGATATCTGATTGGGATACAGTTTGAAAGAAGTGTCTCTCTGTTTCCAGGCCTTGGTTGCTGATCTGTGACATCAACGGATTTGAACTCCACAACCTCTGAGGCCCCTTCCATCTCTCACTTCCCACCCCACATCATGTGTGACCCTAGGATTTTAAACTTATTTCATAGGCCTCCCTTCAAGCCACACACGCTTGGAGTTTCCAGTCTCCCTTGTAAAGCGACATAAGGAGAGAGGCCAGGAATATGAGAGAAAGCCATGCAGAGAATGGGGAAGGAGGCAGAAACAGAAGGAGGAACTGTAAGAGAACAAAGAGAATCAGAGAGGATGGGAGCCAGAACCCGAGGCCCTTCAGAGCTGGCCTCTGCCCTGAGCAGCTCCTGAGCAGGAGATCTTTGCCTGCCTGCCCTTTAGCACTGCAGAAAAAATCTGATGGGAATGAGATGGACCAACACTTCCCCCTTATCCCCTCCTACCCTCCAACCCTTGGTGAGCTGCTTAGAAACCCATTCAGAGGGCCCTGCTGGTCCAGGCAGGATCCTCCCGGGCCCCCCTGGTGCTCACGTCTCCTTTTCCTCCTGGAGCCAGGAGCCAGGAGCCAGGCACTAGGCTTTGGCCTGGGCACCTCTAGGGCTTGGAGGTCAGGGTCTCGATGGGATGTGATAGGCCCAGGGCCCAGGCTTTCCCAGCAGATAGGAGGAAGTGGGAGCCTGCTCCGGTAGGAGAGAAGCAGCCGGCTCAGTGCCCAGGACAGCTGAAGACACACCCCTTTGTGGCCCACTCTGCCTTTTTCCCATCCAGAGGCCCCAGCCCAGAGCAGCAGATCCTGAGACTGCAGTGGAAACCAGAGGCCGGCCCAAGTCCCTCTGGGCTGGGCAGGGCTGGGCTGGGCAGGGCTGGGCTGGGTAGAGGCAGAATGCTGCTGGGTGGTTCTCTGGGGAGAGGGGAATTGAAAAGGAAAAGCATCTCCGAGGAGGGCAGAGAGGGAGGGAGGTTATGTGCTGCGTGCGCGCGCACAGACACACAGACACAAACAGACACACACACACACACACACACACGCACACATACACACACACACACACACACACGCACACCCTCCTGACTTGGCCTGAGCCTCGCTGGGAAGAGGAGCGTTCTCCTCTCTGCCCTCCAAGCTTTCTGTTGCTTCCACGCTCATCTGCGCTGTCAGCAGCGCCAGCAAAGTTGGCCTCAAACTTGAACGGAGCTAAAGGCTCCAGATTCCTGGGAGTCCCTCGGGGGCAGCAGGCGGGCCCAGCCTCTGAGCTCAGCTGGCTTTGAGGCGCCCACTGTGACCCTCCAGCACCCAGCTGGCCCTCAGTCCCCTGGGCAGTGCTCCTTCCCCTGACCTGGAGGCCCCTGTCTGGGCTGGGGAGTGGGGTGCTGAGGTCTCTGTGGAGCCCCTTGTCCCAGCCCAAGGCCCAGGCCAACAGGGCCAACCTCATGCAGCCTCAGTTTCCTCCAGCGCAGGAGCCGAGCTCCGCCTCCCACCTGGACCTGCCGGAGATGGAGAAGCTCCTCACCAAGGTAAAGGACAAGGATGACAAGACCCTGAATCTGTCCAAGTCCCTCTCAGGGGCCCTGGATCTGGAGCAGAATGGCCACAGCCTGCCCTTCAAGGTGATCTCCGAGGGGCGCCGGGAGTCCCCACTCGCCCGGTCCCCCTCCAGGGCCAGCTCGAGGCGGGCGTCCTCCACTGCCACCACCTCGTTCGCCCAGGACCAAGAAGTTCCCAAAGATTACCTCATCCTCGCCATCGCCACTTGCTTCTGCCCCGTCTGGCCCCTCAACCTCATCCCCCTCATCTTCTCTATCATGGTAAGTGCTGCTCTTTGTTCTGGGGAGGGGGCTGGGCCCAGGGGTGGGTGGGCATGTTCCCCAGACAGGGGCTCTAGAGGAAAGAGCTGGGTGCTGGGGGCTTGGCGGAAGACCCCCTTCTCGGCTGGCTCCTCCTTCCCCTTGGAGAGAGGCCAGCGCCCGAGATCTGTCCACGCTCCTCTCGCATCTCTGCTCCCGGCATCACAGCTTGACTTTGCACCTGTGCCTGCTGGGGAGAGGGACCTAGGGAGCCACCTGGCACTAAACCCTGCAGGGCAGAGACAGACAACTTGGGGGTCTGGCCTTTTTTGGAGGGGGAAGGGATTTTCCTAAACAGTCATTCCTAGGGAAGGGATTTTCCTAAACAGTTGATCTTGAGTGGGGCTGTGTATCAGCCAGAAGGGGTCTCAGGGCCCCGTGTTCTCAGGAAGGGAGCCAGGCATCCCAGGCCACCTGGGCATTCGATCAGCCTGAGCTAGCTCAGGTTTCCAAGAGCCTGTGGCAGCGGCTTCCCTGCCATGCACTGGGGACCCTGGGACCTGGCTCCCCTGAGAGGCACACAAGGAGGGGAGAGTCTGTGGGCTGCTCCTCAGGGGTAGAGTTCCCCCTGGAGCCCTTTGGACTTCGGAGGTTGCACTGATTTCAGCAACTGTCTTCAGGGCAGGAGAGGTCTGGGCCTCAAGTGAAAAATTTGAGTCTGAGGGCATGGCTGCCAGGCTTGCCAAGGAGGGGCGTGTGGGCGAGTCTTTACCTCTGTGGGTTTTGAGTCAATTGTCTGCTCCCAAGCCCAGCCGTTTGCGTAGGGCTACTTGCATAGATCCCACAGGAAATGTCGGTACATGTTGGCAAGCGAGAGAATGGCAGCGACTTTCAGAATGAGGTTAGGAGCAGGGGGAGCAAACTGCGGGCCCCAGACTGGTCAGGGGCTGAGCACTCAGTGGGGTGACCCTGTTTGCTTCCCTCTGGAGTGACTCTACTGCTGAGTCATCTATCGCCAAGCCCCCAGGAGCTGAGGTCACTCTGGGCTGCCCTCTCAGTGAGCCCATATTTCTTCAGACATCTCTGTCCACTTCATTAAGGCCCAGTCTCCAGCCAGAGAAGCCTTCCCCAGTCCCCAACCCACCCAGTACCACCTTCCAGGACATCGAGGGACACTGGTAGCATTACTGAGTCCGAGGGACCTGGCATGGGTTCAAGAGCGAGGGCCGGGCAGGGACCAGGACAGGGACCTTCCAAGCTTTCAGTGTTGCCTGCTGCACTTGGGGACAGCTGGGGGCAGAGCCAGGCCCCAGAGTTGCAGCCAGTAGCTCTGGGCGGGGCCAACCTCTTGGTTACAGGGAATGGCCCCAGGAGGGCAGACAAGTTTTGGGGAGGGAAACCACACAAGGGCTCAGGAGAAAACAGTTGCTAGAATCGGGATCCTGGCAGGGGTGTCAGGGAGCAGGCTGGGTGGAGCTGCTTTGGTTAAAGGGAACCTGGCGCAAGACTGTGAGACCACTGAACCCATCCCCAGTGCATTTCTATGTCCTTTTAAGCTTCTTGAGTCAGGTCTGATGGTCGCTGGGCCAGGTGCAGGGATATACAGTGCAAAACCAGACACCATCCCCAACTCCCGGGTTCCTCCAGTCCAGTGGGGAGAAACAGATCCTTACAACATATTGCAAGAAGTGCCCATGCTAGACAGAAGTACAGGGTAATTGTGTGGCCTTGGGCAAGTCACTCAAACCTCTCTTTTCAATGTGCCCATCTGCAAAATGGGCACAACTGTAATGCCTACATTAGAGAGCTGTGAGAGGGTGAAATGAGACGGCCACGCACGGTGCTTGAGAACAACACCCAGCCCACAGTCAGAGCTGTTACCTGGTGACAGTATTTAAGTGGCAGCTGACAGCATCCCCAGTGGGGGATGGGAAGCCATCGTAGGGTTTTAAAAATAGCATTATTGAGAGATAATTCACATACCATGCAATTCACGCATCTAAAGTGTACAGTTCCATGGTTTTAGCATACTTACAAATAGGTGCAGCCTTTACCACAGTCAGTTTAAAACATCTGCCTTGCCTCCAAAATAACCCTGTGCCCTTTGGCTATCACCCTCCGCCCCAGTCCCTCCCAGCCCTGTGCAACCACTAATCTTCTCTCTGTCTCTATAGATTTGCGTCCTCCGGACATTTTGTATAAATGGAATCATACAGTATGTGGCACTTTGTGACTGGCTCTATCACTTAGCATGGTGTTCTCCAGCTCCATCTCTGCTGCAGCACGCACATCGTAGGGCTTGGTGCCCAGAGGAGTGTGGCCAGATTTTGGTGGCTCTGTCTGGTGCAGGGAGAGAGGACGGGCTGAAGGGGAGAGACTGGCGTTCGGGTGAGGGGACCTTTGTAGGAATACAGGCGAGAGGTGAAGAGGCCTGGACCAGGGCCACAGCAAGTGGCAGAGGGTCTTCTGGAAACCCTTTAAGAGCTGGTCACGCTGGCCACTCATTCATTCAGTCGACTCGAATGGCAAGTGGCTTGTTCTGAGGGAACTAGTGGGACAGGACGATTAGGCCCCGCGTGAGTGAATGCGCCTCTTTTATGAACCAGGCACTGTGTGGGGCGTTGGGGAAGCAGATGGAAAAGGTCAGTAGCGGGTCTCTGGCCTGGCAGAAGGCGCAAGAGCACGATGGGGTAAGGAGGGGACAGGGGAAGGAGGGGACAGGGACTTGTTCCAGGAAGTTAAGTTTTATGCTAGTGGCTCTGAAGAGCCCTTGGTGAGTTTTGAGTAGAGGCGAGATGTGGTCAGTTTGTTTTAAGACCAACACTCAACTGCATTATGGGAACTGGGCTAGAGCAGGGAGACCCCCCAGGAGGCTCCTGAGGGGGTCCAGGCAGGGAGGGCGGGGCCTGTGCTGAGCAGCGGACTCAGGAGGAGGGTGCTGGGAGGTCTGCTGAGGAGGGGCAGCAGTGTTCGCACCAGGCTCCGGCCGTCTACCTCAAAACTACCAGGGCCATCTTAGAGAGCTCCGGGGACCCACGACATTTACGGGGTGCAGACGAAGTGGACAGAACGTGGTTTTGAAAAGGCTATTCCAGGAGGTGGGAGGAAACTAGAAAAGGGGAAGAGACACCAGGCAGGGGAAAGTCTGAGGGATGAGGGGCCTGAGGCTGAGGACAGGCCGCGAGGGCAGAGGCAGATGGAAATACTCAGAGGAAAGGGGACTGGCTCACGTGGCACAGCTGCCATGCCACCAGGGATGTGGAGGGTGAGGTCGTTTGCTGAGATAGAGGCCTGGTGGTAGAGGGGAGGGGAGGTGACCAGAGACAGATCAATGCCCCGAGGCTCTGCCGAGGCTGGAGACCATGGATCCGGGTTGTTCTCGGCCTACATGGTGCTGTGATTTTCTCCAGCTGTCAGTGTGGGGTCACAGACATGGGTATTGGGCCAGCCCAAGGCTGGGGATGGCACAGTTGCCATGAGGGCAGGACCAGCTGGCACAGGAGTGCTGGCAAGTGTGGCTGAGGTGACGCTGACAGGTCGGGCTGGGCTGGGAGGGAGCGAGGCTGGGAAGACGGTGACAGCCTTGGAGGACAGGGAGAGGTCACAGGCTGGGCGCAGAGACAAGGGGGTGAGAGATGCGGGGGGTTGAGATCTCAGAGGAGGAGCCGGGGCCGGGGCGTGAGGGCCAGGGGGGAAGTGCGGTTGTGGAAATGAATTTCTAAAGGGAAGCCTCAGGAGCCAGGCAGAAGGAAAGTGGGGGGCCCAGCGTTGAGGGATAGTATTACCGACATCCACCGAGCGCTTACCAAACGCTGGCACAGGTCCACACCCCTTACCTGTGTCGTCTCAGTTAGTTCTGGCGATGCCCCTGTGAGGTCTAGTGTTGTTATTCTCATCTTGCAGATGACAGAACTGAAGCGCAGAGGCAGGAAATAACCTGCTAGTAAATGGGGATCCAGCCAGGACCGAGAGCCCCCGTCCCTACCCACTGCACTAGACTGCCTCCTTGGGAAGCAGGCGGTGCCAGGTAGGGAGCGCTACTGGGTGCGCCGCAGTTGTCGCCTTGGTCAGGAAGCCAGTCTAGTTCACAGGACACGCCCACACCGGGGGAGGGAGGGGTCAGTTGTTCACCCGGGGCTGCCACACTAAGTCCTGCCCAACAGCAGCACAGGCGAGAAGAACCTGTGCGAGAGAGAAAGTCTCCTGGGCTGCTGTCTCCAGGTCCTGAGATGGGCTTCAGGACTCGTCATCAGATGTCCCCCCACTGGTTACCAAAAGAAGGATCAAACCCTTCACCCCAAGGATGGAAGGAGACCCACAGCCCCGACAGCCCCTCTAGAGCCTGTTACCGTCTGCAGAGCACGCTCCCACATGAGTCGGGTCAATTGTTCTCGCTGAGCAGACGAGGCCACCGGGCCATGCAGAGCAGCGCCTTGCCCATGGCCACATGGCTGGTGAGAGGCACATCAGCGGGACACTGGACCTGCTGTTCTCTCCATGGCTCCACCCTGCAGGTGCTCTCGGGGCTACGATGATGTGTCCCTCCCAGGAAAGCCAAACTTTTCAGGCATTTGGACAGGGAGGGAAGAATTCTACTTCCTTCCCTCTCACCCACTCCCCACCTGCTCACTGAACTCTCCTCCCACCCCACTAGCTCCATCAGTAGAGGACGAGGGGACCAGCAGCGTCCCTCCCACTGTGGCTGTGACAGGGCCTGCCGTGAGCAGGCTGGTGGACCAGGGGCCCTACTTGAGGAGCTGCCACTGCAGGTGCCCAGACCTAGCTCTGCTCAGTGCCTCAGCCTCCTGTGAGCCTCTAGGGTAGAAGATTTTATTTCCAGGTCAGGCTGAGAAATGGCCACATTCTTCCATGCCAGCGAGGTCTCCTGCCAGTGAGGAAAGCCGGACCCCAGGCGGGGCCTTCGGTTAGCGACAGAGACCAAAAAGGCCTCAGACAGACCTGGGTGTGCAACCTCAGGAGCCACGTGACCATGTCCACATCACTTGGTTGAGCGACTCCTT